AGCCACACGGGGGCAACATGTGAATAGACATGATTTCACTTCACATCCACAGCATGTTTTAAGATTGGTGGATATCATAGATAGTAGGGATCATGTGCCTTTTTGTATTCTACCTTATTACTCCCAAAAAGAAAGAGCTGTGTTATAGAAAACATATCAAACAACCCTAAAATTCAGGAAAATGCTGCAAAGAAAAAGGCTTAAAATGACCTGGAATTACATCCTGGAAAACCTGGAAGTTTAGAGACACTTGGAAATTGATTAAAATAACCAAATAACCTGGAAATAATCTACGTTGTCCTGGAAAATTGTGTGTGTGTGTGTACAGTTAGAGGAAAACTAGTTGAATTAGGAAACAGGAGTGTCTTTAAACCGGTGTTTCCCAACCTTTTATCTGACTGTCCTGTATCGTCACGGATAAAGTGAACGTTAAAAAGCTCAGAAATGATATTCATTGTTACTCCGTGAGAAGAACTGAACCACATGTGATCCAGTGTGAGAGACTGGGGGATGAAAAGCACTTCTTTTTACGGAGGTGAAGGTGAAAACGGGGTAAATCTTCTCCCTGTTTGCAGCACATTTAAACCTGGGGGGCAGATGAGTGAGTTCTTGCCCTTCCTCTGCCTCTGTTTTCAGCTCTTTTCTTCCTTCCCATCCGGTTTTCCCCGGTTTCATCCACCTCCCCTCCCTCCCTCTCTCCCTCTCTCCCTCCCTCTCTCTGTTGTTGCTGGTATATTTTATGCAAACACGTGTCAGCTGATCCGCAGGTGGGGGCGTTACCGGCAACGTCACCCAGACAGCCTCCCTCTCGACCAATCAGCGGCCTCCCTCTCGGGTCGACGCTGCATAAATTATGCGGGTCTTCTCTCCCTGGAGCTGCAGCGGTTGTTTTTTATATATATATCTATCTATCTGTCGAGGAGAGAGAGGAGGACTGGTGTGTGTAGCAGCGACATGAGCTGACCTTGGATGTATTGTGTTCGGTTGTTCGGTGCAGGACTCTTTACCGGAGGCAGGATCGCAGTGTGGATGAGGCTGAGCGGACTGTGAAAATACCCCCAAACACTTTAAACCAAACATGGCCAGCGTGAATTCGTCGTGCTACACCGTGGCTATGGATCTGGGAGTGTGCCAGCTGAGGAATCTCTCCATATCGTTTCTGTCGTCGTTACTGAGCGCGGAGAGCTCGCACGTCCAGATCGATAATAGGTGAATAGATAGAGATGGAGATGTATGTGGTGGTATTGATTGTGCTCACCTGCAGCCGTGTCACCTGCAGCGGTGTGATGGGAGAGGATGGAGGCCGTTAACGCGGTTGTGTGTAGGAAAGATGAAGAGGAGGAAGAGGAGGGATTGTTGATTTTTATAGACTTTTCCAGAGGTTTCCTGGTTTTAAAAAAAAAAAAAGACCCACAAAAGAGGGAGACTGCGGCTGTGCAGGGGATGCGTTTCTGTTTTTCCACCACTGATCTTTGGTTTTTAATTAGTTTTTATTGTGGAGGGAGGTTAAATAACATAAAATGTTCATTTCTGTTTCATTTTCCTTTCATTGCAGTTCGTCGGGAGCCAGCGTTGTGGCCATTGACAACAAGATTGAACAAGCAATGGTGAGTTTTAGTCCATATAATACACTGTAATATATATGTAGGGTTGAATTAGGAGAAATACTCTTTATTCTGCCTTTTTGACTTGTTTGTCTGCGTGGTTTTATCGTTAACTAACTGTAGCTGTGTATTCATTTAAATTCAGTTCACTTTATTGGGATGATATTTCACATGTGTTGCCAAAGCACAGTTATTATAAATGTATATAATACTTATAACAGCAGCATTAAAGAATAAAAGTGACATAAAACAACAACAATGTGAATGCAAATAGTTTAGAAAATAAAATAAATAAATGTATTAGAATAATAAGTGTATATATATATACAGTATATAAGACAAAAGAAAGTAACATTAATTTAGTCGGTATTTTATTGTGTAGGATATTTACTAATAACCGTTATAATGTCTTTACAACGGGGCTCACATCAAACGTTAACGGCAACCAACCGTTGTTTTCACCGATTTAAGCGTTATTTTATTTAAATCAATCAATATATTTGCTGTTGTATGAATCTGAGTTCAGAGGTTTTTACTTTCACAGCTTTTATTTTCAGTTTCAGTCGGTTGGTATCTGTTGTCGCTGTCTCTCTGTTGCTAGGCAAACTGCAAGGCTCGCAGCCTCGTTGTAAATATCTCGGCCTCTGATTGGTCCACGCTTTTTTAAATAAAGTGGGCGGGGTCAATGACGTGGCAACCTGGGACTACGCTCACGTTTCTTCTGGTTATTGTTTATTGTTTATCACCAGATTTTATTCTTCTGTTTCCACTTATTGTCCATTATTTATGTTTAGTTTGTAATATTTTTATTTTTAAATTAAATTTAAAAAAAAATGGTGTTAAATAAAGTGTTAAATGTACGTATATTCAGATTATTAAGGGAAACAAAACTAAATCATTTTAACAATAACTCAAAATAAAGTATAAAAGTGAGGTTGTTGCATGTTAATACATATTTGGCAGTAAGATAAGTCACACATTGACTTTTACATAACACATTGCAGTAGTGAAGATATTGGCAGCAGCTAATCAGTATAATACATAAAACTGTATTCTTATAAATTGCTTTTTCCTGCCGGATTCTGCTTAAAGGACAGTTTATTTATTCTTTAATTAGTATTATTTCTCTGGGTGGATTTAAATAAACTAACTTTTAATCCAGATTTGAATTGCCACATATTTAAAGGGACATCAGAAATCTTTAATATCCACACTGGATTAACTAAATAAAGTGCAGAATCCGAATCACATTATAATACAGAATTCTGTGGAGCCCTAATAAAACTTAAGGAAGATATTTTCACCATTTCATTACGTTTACGTGCTTGGTTTAAGATTTTACTCTGAATATTGAGGTTGACACACAGTTTGGGTCTCAGGACGATGGATTGATTTCTAATATTTAATCTAAACAGAGAAACTTGGTTAATGCTGGATTTGTTGTGTCTGTCTCAGGACCTGGTGAAGAGTCACCTGATGTACGCCGTGCGCGAGGAGGTGGAGGTGCTGAAGGAGCAGATCAAAGAGCTGATCGAGCGCAACACTCAGCTGGAGCAGGAGAACACGCTGCTGAAGACGCTGGCCAGCCCGGAGCAGATGGCCCAGTTCCAGGCCCAGGTTCAGACCGGCTCCCCGCCCGCCCCCCCGACAGCCGCCACACAATGGGCCTTCCCGGCGCGCCACCCTCCGTCCAGCCCACCTCGCACTAGCTTCCCCGGTCTCTTCGGCGTTTAAGCCCCGCTCTGTCGCAGACAGTTTACAGTATCAGTTACAGACAGACAGTTTTTTGTGAGTTCTGCTACAGCAGCAGAGCTACTACTTTTGTTCGGCAGCAGGAGGTTTACGCTGTTAAGAAAAGATTGCACATATTTAGTCTCTCAGAAGGATGCCAGCCGGCGGACGAGTTCGAGCGGTTCGCAAGTGCTTTACAGCAGACTTTGGGGGGAGGAGGTGGGTCGAGGGTCGGGAGGGAGGCGAGGGACGGATGAAGGGAGGGCGAAGGACTGATGTGTTAATGGGCTGGGCTGGGGTTTCCAGAGGAGGATTTATGAATTCAATCAAACATTTGCCAATAACCCTCGGACATATACTAGAATGTCTTACCAAGAAACGAAACAGCTTCATCAGTGGCGGACGATATAATTAACTATAGATAGAAATCACTGTGGCCTTGTGGTCTGGAATTTTAAAGTGATGTCGATTTTACTGACGATGTGGAGCGAGGAAAGAGTAGACGGAGGTTGGAGGATTGTATTGGTTGTTACCTTCTCATCTTTTTTTTTTAAATTTTTATTTTTGCTGAATGATGTAAATGAAGTCGTGTCTCGTTTTTCTCTCATATTTTGGCTTATTGATTCTTCTAAAGTTACAGAGTTGAAAGAGAGAGAAAGAGGGAGAAGAAGCCTTTCTCAGAGTGACAAATGAAGAATGTGAGCAATTATTATACACGAGTCCCCATCTGGAATGGGGGAGGGACGGAGGGTGGGAGGGTATTTTGAACAACACTTGGCAGAACTGATGACGTTACTTCAACCCGTGGGTTGGTGGGTTGGTGGGATGAACAAAAAACAAACACAAACATGGTTTCTTATGGAGATGATGATATTTCAGTATTTCACTTTCCTCATTTTCTTTTGCCCTCGACAAAGCTCATCATTGCTGTTCTCTCGACCCTGCAAGTGGCATGTAATTTAAACCTTTATCCGACAGGGTTGAGACATTTGGGCTAAGCTGCATTTTCTCTTTTTTTAATATATATACATATAAATATATATAAATATATATATTAAAAAAAAAAAGTAAAACAAACCAGTTTGATGGGCAGAAGATGATGTATATTTCTGTATAGTGTAAGTATCATGTAAAATAGTGAGGAGGGGAGGAAGGAGGGAGGAGAAAACGACAACAGATGCTATCTTTGGGGGTCACACAGATCGAAGCAGATGAGCGAGGAAACGTGCTGGTCTCCCACCCCGAGTCTGTGTCGTCTATTTTTAATGCTGTATTTTCAAGACCGTGGATCGAGAGGAGTTTAGGATATTTAACTGACAACACACAGCCGACAATATTGTCCATATCTCCCCCCCCCTCACTGCGACAGTAACTCTTACCGTTAAACAAAACATTCATTTTTCTTTTCTTTCTGGAACTATTTCTGCACCTTCTTATGGTTTTTATTTTACTTTGTTTTGACAGTGATGTACTTCTGGATGAACAATATCTTTAAATCAATCAAAAACAAACAAAAAAAAACACCAAACAACAACAAACTCTGAGATGTTTTTTCTTTTTCATTCTGTGTATCAGTTGTATGCTCATGTTTCTGTGCATGTTTCTGCTAAAAAAAATAAAAGACCGGATGAGATATTGTAACATACTTACCACAATTGCACTTGACAGCTGCACTTCACAACTTTCAATAAACATGCTTAAAGAAGAAAAACCAGCCGCTCCGCCGCCTTCTTCTCGTTCTTCCCTCTTCGTGGTTCGTTGTCTCTTTCTCTGTGTGTGTGTGTGTGTGTGAGATTGTGTACTTCCTGTTCTTTCCGTTGTATAACTTGTTTGCCGCTCTGATATGACGCAGTTTGAATTTCCTCTGCCAATGACATGTTTGTTTAGTTTTTTGCCTTTTTTTGTTGATTTTGTGTTTGTGTAATACAGTTTCCACTAAAATGAACTTGCTAGCTAAAGAAAAAAACTTTGTACTACAGTGAGTGCAGGACAACAAGGGAGCATCTCAAGTCTCTTAACTGCATCCACATTTCCCTCACTTACATCTTTCCCTTGCATGAGGATGCATGGACAGACGTGAGGAAACCATTCGAGGAGAGAGGAGAGAGATATGTGGTTTTAAAAAAATGAGTATAGAAGAACTTCTCTGATGATTAAAGTAAAGTGCAGAGGGGGCACCACCAACACTGACCCAAAAAGACACAGAACAGGAGGCAGAGGAAGTTTTATTGAATAATTACTGTTGTGGTTGGAGATGAGGTTGAGGAGATGGATGGTTGGTATGGCAGAGGGAAGGTGGAGAAGGAGGCAGTGTGGCCAGCAGAGGGAGTGAAGGAGACACAGATGAGGAGGAAGCACAAGAAAACAAATGCAGTACAATGAGCAGTACCCCCCCTTGTGCCTCCCTAAAGTGCAGTGTGTATTACCAGTTTACTTTGTCAACAAATGGAAACATATGTTTCATTGAGTTTCCTCAGATGTGTTAACTAGTCCCTCTGGGTTGTAACAGCGGCTGACTGTCAGCCAGTAGAGGAAGAGTACTCAGATCTTTAACTGAGTAAAAGTTACAATACCACAGTGTAAAAGTACTCAATCTTGACAGTCTTGAGACATAAAATAAGTGTCCCAGCTCTCCAGTTATTCCCAATTTATCCAATGTCTGGACCCCAGTCTGCAGAAATATTCAAACTCACGAGGAGAAAGTCACACATTTATACAACATGCAAACACTTCAGGGTTTTGCCCCAAACTGCTTGAGATTAGCATAAAGTGAGCAGGCCTACAAAGGGGAGACTTGTGGGTAACCACAGAACCCATTTTCATTTGGATATCTTGAGGTCAGAGGTCAAATGATCTCTTTGAAAAGGCCTTGCCAGTTTTTTAACTAAATTCTTTGGAGTGTTATTTGCTCCTCCTGACATGCAGCATTACATGGTCAGTACCAGTGGATGTGTTAGGTCCATCACACAGAAAGCTGCAGGAGCTGATATTCAACTGTGTTTGTGTTCTCTGTAAAAGAAAATATTACACACAGACACACACAGCGCGCACACACACACACACACACAGTGTGGGGAGGGGAGTCGCAGTACTAGCCACGTGCAGAGAACTGGGAGGGAACCTGAAAGTGAAAGTGTTCAGTTGGTTCAGACTCCATTTTGAGTCGACAGAGCAGAAGGAGGAAAACTGAAGGCTGAGGCAGGGTGAGTGTTAATACAACAGAAGTTTTCTTCCTGTGGACTGTAGAGGACAGAAATGTTAGAATGAACTCAACAGTTTGATTATACTGAGAGAGAGAGAGAGAGAGAGAGAGAGAGAGAGTCACTTCCTCTTGTCTCTGTGTTCCATGTGACTGTGTTTCTCTTGATTCTTGTATCCTGAGCTAGGGATGTGAGATACCACTATTTTTCCTATCGATCCAATACCAGGTGATACCAAGGCTAGTATCCCGATACCAATACCGATACTTTTAGATGTCCTACTTGTGTATATGAAAATGATGACTTTTACAATGAAAACTTGTGAATGTGATTATGAATAATGTATTTTATACCTCTGTTTAAGAATTAAACAAGCTGCCAAATATCAGACTTTGTTTTCTCTTTAATCAGAGCAATTAAAGACAGTCTGTGCAAATCAACAAGTCAACTGAAAATATGTG